TTTTCTTCCACGATTCACAACGCGGAAAACATTCGGTTCCGCAATCTACGCCCGCCACGGATCGCTTTGGGCTCCTTTCATCCTCCCTCCCTCTCTCTCCGTTTCGCACCTCGCGCGATCCTCGTTCGCAATGACCGAATTACCGGCCACCGAGGGAATCGCTTCAGGGAAAAATTGGAGCGGATTTTCGTCGGCGTGCAAACGGTCTCAATGGCCGGATACAACGAAATTAGACTTATCTCGGTCATCGGGGGCCGCCACGCAGCTGCCGGGAGGATCCACGTGAATAGACCGGCCCAGTTTTTCCTTTATTATGCCTCGTTTTCGAGGACTCGCGTCCTCTCCCGATTTGCACGAACGGTTCATTCTCGTCCATCAGGGAACACGGTTGCTCCTTTCGACGTCCTTTTGGCGTCGGACACGCGCCATTGTGAATCACGCCCGATCGCTCCTGATCGCCGATCCTTAAGACGGTATGACAATGAGGATTTCGATGGGGGCTGTAGTTTCTCCATGCGGCATTTCTCGGCAATTTCGAACGAGACTCGATCTTGTTCCCTTTTATTGGAGGATCAATGGGAGATCTTGTAACGCATTTTGGATATTGTACGAAATTCCTTTATACAGGGAGGTTATATTGAGATGTATCGTGGAAGATCGTCCCTGAAAAGTGGGCTAATAACGGGCTTTATATTTATTTCTAATTTTGTAATGAGCGTACAAACAGGGTTGCTTTCCACTTCTGAAGCTTCGTGACCTTTGCTTGGATGAATTCGATAAAAATTTCGAAAGGATCAAGTATCTATCTTATTATATAATAGAACGTTAAACGTTTATAATCACAATTCATCGCGATCTTTCCATTTCTCAGTTTCAAAAGTACATAGTTATTTTTCGTTACAACGATAGAAAATTACACGGAATTAGAAGGATTTTCGTTATCTGGGAAAATCGGTTCGACGAACACAGGTTGAAACGTTTAACCGGGTCTACCTGAGCTCTTGGAGAACAATCCTGCCGGATACGGCGTTTGGAATCCCTTGAGCCCAAGAAGGATCAACGTTCGAGAAATTAGCTAAAACTGGAGCTAAGTGCTCCGGAACCGGGCCTGCCATGAAATAAACGCGTCGATCTAGTAACGTTTTACCCCTCAGACAGATATTTATCGCGTTAAATGGGATCCGGTTAAATGCAACTTGCGATCTGATTTCTGCACAGGCTAAAAGCACTTTCCACTTACTCGTGCCGGGTAGCCAGATTCGTGACCGAGATTGCCGGCGTGGAAAACGGCGTCGCCTGTTAACGCGTGTAAACGCGATGCAAACGGCACGTGGGAACTACGCGTACGAAAGGATCTCTTCGAGAGGATCGATGTGGATCGTGATACTTTGTTCCGTTTTGATGCGTTTTGTCGCGAATAGTAAAATGATTAGAAGGGTCGATCGAATTTTATCCGTTAGTTTACAGACAATTATTGAAAAATTCATCAATCTTCGTTAAATTTTTGTTAAGTTATCTTGGAGGATTTGTTTTATCCTTGAAATCAACGACGTTTTGTTTCGTTAAAACGAAACAATCTAACATTGTATACGCGAGGATCGCGAGGGATGCGATTATGGAATTAGTAAATTTTTATTTTCATTTAGGGAAATTTGTTATTTTCGATATAAGGAAGCGTTTTTTAAAAAATTCTGGAAATTATAAATTATAAATCCTTGAGAGTGAATATTCTTCGAATGATTTTTAGCTACAATGCTTCTCCGGATCATAGATTCTCGGAGGACCACGTATCGTCCACGTTCCCTAAACGTGCAAATATCCATGATCCAACGATATGTTGTTATTATTATTACCATTATCATTATTAGGATAAATCCGCGCATGAATTTTTTATTACGTTTAACTCCCTTCCATTTCTTTTACCAGAAATCGCATAAATCGTATAAATTTGAACCCCCCAAATTGGAATCGTATAAACGATACTCGATCGGCTCGTTTCCAAGTTCAATTACTCGTAACACGGATCGTTTATGTGGTGCGCGACGTTGACGCATTATTTCTGGGGCGCAATTATAATCTGGGACGCGTGGACAGGAGGGTGGGCGCACGGGTGGGATTTTCTATAACGTTAGGGCCGTGAATCGGGTCCGCAACCGTATAATTTGCCTCGATTTTCGGCGGATCGATTTTGAGCAGCTACTGTTTCGCTACAGGCGGATATCTTTTGTGCCGCGGTTTTGTGGGCGTACACTTCCCCCTGGGCTAAAACGCCAAATGGTAACAACGATACGCGGAATCGAATGCGGAATGGGAAACGGGGATTTGTTTTGTGCTCTCTGGTTTTTCGGGTACGGGTACGAACGGGAAAAAAGAAACAATCCTGGATACAGAGAGTAGTTACAGAGAGGACGAAAACGAACGTCGTTCTCCTTGTTACAAAGCTAACTCTGTGAAACTCTGTGGAAGAAAATCGAGATAAAAATCTGTCGAACGTTCCTCTATACGCAGCAGTTTTTCCATCATCCGCCCACGAAAAGATGCAAGTTTGCTATATATATTCGTATAACGTTTGGAAAATGGTCCGCAAATATTTATCCACCGATATCCACGCGCATCTCGTGTGCGGAGAACACGCGACAAATGAAAATTTTTTTCAAGTTGAAAGGATTAATATTAGCCCGTGAGCGAAATTAAATATTAGTCGAAAGGTCTCGTAATCGAGAAACAAAAGACGAAAGGGGAGGAGGGGGAGAAAAAAAAATTGTTCACAATTAATTATCATGCATCGCGCGGGCATTGTGTATCAAGAGAGAATGCAAACTCTCATCGTCAAAGAACAAACGAGATTATCCAACAACGGGGGCAGAGTAGGATCGAAACGAAGCAATTACGACGCTGAAACGTCATCATCCCCCTACCGGACGCGGTTCCTCCTTCGGATAGGATAGAGGAAAGAGGG